GTCATCCTCGGGGTAGATGTCGAAGAAGCCCTCGGTCTTGACGCCCTTTCCGGTGGGGTCCTTGCTAATGCTGCGGACATCGTGTACCCAGATACCAGCGCCGTAGTTGCTCTGGTAGGCGAGGCCGTCGACAATGTAGAGGTTGTGGTCGATACCCTTGCTGTCGGTGGCGTAGAAAGTACCGGTGGCCTTGGGGTTGCGGAGGTCGGTGAGGTCGATGATGTGGGTGACGGGGCGGCCGGACGCAGCGGGACCGACAGCTTCCTGCTCGTCAAGCTCGTCGTTCAGGAGGACGTACTGGTGCCAGTTGCGCTCGGTCCACCATCCTTGATGGCAGTAGGTGGCACCGGGGTAAGAAAGGGTGGAGATGACCTCGGAGGCGGGGTTGCCGTTCTTCATGGTGGAGTCGTAGACGGTCATGGTGTCCTCGTTGTAGCCGATGCAGATGTTGCGGCCGCGGAACTTGCGGTCGGGACCGTTGTAGGTCACACACTGGGCGTCGTGAACGTATCCGTCCTGGCTAGCACATCCAGGAGAGGTTGGCTTGCTAGGGTTCTTGAGGTCGATGTACTGGAGACCAGCCTTGCAGGTCTGGTTTCGGGGCTGGGCACCGACCGCGAGGATGTACTCGTTGTCCCAGTCAACAACGACGTTGTGGGTGCGGCCAATGGGCAGTTCGTCGAACAGACCAACGAGGTCGGCCTTGGGGTCGAATGTCTTCGGGGTCTTTGGGTCGACAGTCAGAAGCTTCTTCATGTCGAAGATCTGAACGTTGTGACCAACGGCCTCGGAGCCGATGATGACATAGTCGTTCAGCACACGGATCTCGCGCCATCGCGAACCCACGCTTTGTGCGGGGAGACGTCCCATGTACTGGATTTGGCCGTCCTTGAGGATCTCAACGAACGCGGCACCGGAGAACTGGCCTACGATACCGAACTCGCGGCCATTGCGAGCGGTCCAGCCCCATGAAGAGCTACCCTGACCTTCAGGACCTCCCATGTCGGCATGGTTGACAAAGTCGTAGAGGTCCATGTTGTTACACCTGAACGTCTGGTTCGCGTTGCCCTGCTCGACGATGGCGAGACCATCCTTGCATTGGACACGCTTGGCCTTGTCGGGTCCATGAGGTCCCTTCTTCAAGCTCTTGAAAGACTTCCACTGCTGAGAGTCTTGCTTGCCTTGGGCTGCGTCAACTTCCCATTGATCCTAGAAGTTGTCAGTACTTGATAGTCAGGCGAAAGAAGCAAAGTATGAACATACACTCTTCAACTTCATCAACTTCTGATGAATTGCGCCAGAGGCATACTCCGACTTGGAGTAGTGCGCAGCCTGGACTGCAACTGGGAGTGCCAACACAGCGAGTGAGAACTTCATCTTGAGGAGCTAAGAGAAGGATTGAGCTGGAATGAGCACATTTCGTATGCAGCTCAACAGGTATATATATGAGTGTGGTACCCTCATGGTGCAAGATCTCGCCCTCGACCGTTGCCTTGCCACACGACCATTCAGTACCATGTTACCGTCTTGGTACAGCAATATACTCTGGGCATCCGTTGGCATCCATGCTCCATGCGGAAGGTCGGGACTACCATTCCGCTAACTTGATAGGGAAGGTGTCCATACACTTCTTGAGTGGAGTACTGTTGCCAAGCAGCGAAATTCGTATACACATGGTGCGCCACAGATATCCGGCTTGGTACTCTCGGGAGGGCCTCGGGAAAGGAGCGAACATCATTGCCACGGCCCGCTAGCGGAGCCCAAGACTTCCAAGGCGTCTGGGCATGCGGACCAATATACAACACCTGGACGAGAGGCGTTCGCAGCAAGACTCTAGAGGAGATAAGAGGAAGGAGATCATAGAAAAGGGAATGTGCGAACTTAGTCTGCGCGTAGTGGTGCTCGGCGGCGTCGAATCTTGAAATGTACCTACTAGGAGCGGAAGGCCTCCGCGCCTAAGGAATGTTTCAACGCTATACGGTAGAGCGCGACCAAGGCCAGCGAAGGCCTTCGTAATCGCTGCAAACGGGCGGAAGAAAGAAACAATTATTCGCGCAACTCCGACAGGGGCGATAGCCAACAAGCGCACAAACGTTGTGGTAGGCAGGGACAAGCAGACGCTGGGCTTCGGGATACGCGCCGTACAGAGGCCACGATAGCTGTCATTAGAAGGCAAAGTCTACTCAGAATTGCGTAGAATTTCAGTACCGGTGTTTAGCAAATGATGCACGAATGTTGAGACGTCGAGGTCGTGGTTCTGATGTATGAGGGGAACGAGCCACGCTAAGATCGAAATCAATATTACGTCATCACGCTGCGACGCGACGCGACGCGAGCGCGCTTGCCTCAACCTTCGCGATCGAGGCATCTCTGCCTAGCTGATGTTTGCCACCGTACATATGCGGTGAAGCTCATGAAGCTCATTATCACAACGACATCGATCAGAGTTGCACTCACGTACAGCGACGCTTCGGCGACTGGCCACCTTGCTGCTGTCGCAATCCGACAGAGACACGCCTAGAATATGTGTAGGCAAAGCCGAAAACGATACTGGTAACGCAGTGATTTGCAACCATTATACATTATTACTGAACTGATTCCTTGTAGAAGACGCACCTTCATCACACACCAGGCCCAAAACGCAGCCAGGTCAATAAGAAGACTCTGGTACACACCGAAAGTTACAAACAACTTGATGACCTACCCGTCATAATACTCGACGCGACAGATACGTAACGACTATCCACACCAGCCCGGCCTTCAGAAACCGCATCCACAGTCTGGACCCTTCGGTGCGACCTTGGTGCCAGCCTTTCCCACCTGCGGTGGTAGATACAATGAGAGATCATTTCCACCGACCCTAGGGTCGAGGAACGCCTCTACCGGAACATGGCAACACTTCAGCCTCGGAAAGTCTTGGAGAGATCCCAGGGTATCAACGTCCCGACCGTCAGAATACACCAGGTCTAGGATGTCTTTGTCGCTATCGTCGGTAGCACACACTGCTTCCAAGGAGTGTCGGTGTCCCCTCAGCGCATCACCCAGGAGTTTCCAGGAGTGCTCAGGCCAGATTGACAAAGGATTGCCTTCTGCGGCGAATGGCTCCCACCTCCCGGTACTGCGGTGGTATCGAAAGCTGTGGAGGGCCTTGAGCGTGATGAGCATTTGTGTGATGACAGAAATGTCCATCATTGCATGAACCAGGTGAAGATTTCGGATTGAGCTACTCGACTCGGGGACCGACCAGTTCTCAACAGGTGTTGTTTGACATATCTCCCCGAGGGTAAGTGTTTCGAGGGAGGGAAGACGGAACACACAGGAAAGCTCCTCCACCGGGAGGTAGCGGGAAGCGATGTTGAGCTCCTTGAGCTTAGCAAATCGATTGACATGACCACCAACGGGTCGCGCAACAGCGCTGTTCAACATCTGCAACCATTTCGGTTTATCCTCGGGCCGGTCATATGTCTCCGTCACGTGGAACGCTTGGATGTCGTGGGCGTTGGCCAAGATCTTGTTGCATGCATCCTTGTTGACGGGCTTCCCGCCGAAGAAGATACTGATTTCGCGGATGTGCTCGGAAAGGAGATGGTTGCTGGCAATCGCCGCCGCCTTTTTGTAGTGCATGGTAGAGCTCATGGCGCGTAAGGTCTTGTACATCACCACCTCCGCGATTCGCTTGCAGAGCTTATCTGTACGACACAGCTTCGAGAGTGCGTCGTCACGGCCGACTTCCTTCACATGCTCCATGATCTTCAGTAGAAGCTCTTCCGGTATACCACCAAGACACGCTTGCGGGTTTTTGAGTACGACAGGGAGATCTGGGTTGCCGGGGCCATCATCGGTGGCCGTGTGGGTGACCTTGACGGATATCGAGACGGATCGGGTACGCTTAGCCGAGGCCGAGGCGTGCGAGAGTGAAGCTTTGCGCTTCTGCGGCGTCGAGACGGTAGCTGGCGCCATGGCGGTGGTGGGTTCGAGCGGATGTGCACCTCGTACAACGTCGATGTAGGCTCCAGGGTGAGGTGTACAAGTGTCGTAAGGGGTACAATTAATCTGGCAAAGCTGTACAGTCGAAGAACACCCGCGTGGAAAGAGTTGGCCGCTGACACGAAAGTGAGTGGTCGTGGTGGTGAGAGGAAGTCAAGAACTCGGGACGCGAACTAGAAGAAAACAACAACAAAACGCGTCGATGCGCGCCCTTCACACGCGTCACCCGATGCATGGCCACTCACGGTGAGGGCCCTGAGTGCGCGCGCAAGTACGAGAGGAATGCGCTGCTCTGGCCAATCGGGAGCGTCACTACGGAGGTGTGAAGCGGAATATTCACCTCACCGCCGCCCATCTGGCGTTTGAACGGTGCAAAGTGTGCGCACGCATGGCCAGGTCATTGGGAGAATGAGTATGTGAAGTGGGTGTAGCATTGACCGCTAATGCATCAGGCATGCCGATGTCGCTGCTCAGAGAATATCTCGATGAGTATCCCTCCGCCATATGTTCAGAAAAGAAAAAGCGGACATTTAGCAAAAGGCAAGGCGGATAGCCAAATGTCTTGGACCCATGCTAGCTTTTCTGCCCAGTACTCTCCGGTTCCACGAACATATACAGGTTGATCGCGGTCATTATCATAACTCTGGAGCGCCAAACTACCAATGGCCGCAAGCTGCTCTTCGGATCTTTCTTCGAGAAAATCGCCTACTCGAACTTCTCCCGCCTCTACCCCCATGTACATCATCCTGAAATGGAACCTTCCAAGCATATATGGAAGCAATGCAGTTTCTGTATGAAGCTGACGAGAGGTGAGCAGTAACGCTAGGTCGTTCTCTTTGGCTGAGTTCTTTCGTGTCCTCCAGCCGACGAAGTTCCAGTTGTTGTCGCCGAATACGTAGGTGTAGATCATGTTCCGCAGCTCGCCTGGTAAGCGGAAGAGAGGCGAATTGATCGCGTTGGCTTCGGTGCTACAAACGATACATTAGCTTTCGAAATGGCAAAAGCTGGGTGATTTACATCTTGTCGCGAGGAGCTCTTTCGCGGAGACGTCGAATCGCTGCCCTCTCTTCAGCACCCTCAAAGCGCCGCTTCTTTGCTGGGGGCTGGCCGTTCGAGCAAGAAGGCATTGTTGAGCACTTTCGTGACAGCTTGGTGTGTTGTGCCGTGCGTGGTGTAATATGAACGAGGGGGTCGGTTGAATGTAGAGGGGAGTAGAAGTAGGTTGGGAGCAGACTGCCGGACTGGTATAGGTGCGGCATTCTCTACTCAGCTAGTGGCTGCAGAGAGCGACGACAACGGAGGGCCATGCGTGTTGTCTGCAATTGCCAGGTTTCACCGTTCATTGCTACCCCATTCCTTCACTTCGAAGCTTCCCCAATGCAGACATACGGTCGCTCTCTCATTCTGACACAAGCAGTTCAGAAGAGATCCGATTCATGTTGCCTGTACCAACCCATTATATCCTTCGAACCAGGAACCTTCTGGTGAAGCTACCAAACACCTAGTTCCCTGGCCCAGCATACCCCAGTCTGCATCCTCCTCCTCCCTTGAGGGCCTTCCCATTCTGTTTCACAAACCTCTAGACAGGCAATCGCTTCGATTTGTTCAGCTGATCGCTCCTCGAGAAAAATTTCGATATCAGCCTGCCATGATATGTAGCTTGGATTGAAACGGAAACAGATCGTGCCGAGCTTATATGGGAGCAAGGCGGTCTCAGAGTAGGCTTGACGCGATACCAGGAGAAGGCTCATGTTGATGTCCGTAACGGCCTCTCCACATATGAGAGTGCTGTAATCATGCCTGCGGAGAAGGTACTCTTCGCCGCTGAAGACGTAGGTGAAGATCATGTTTCTGATCTCAGCTGGAAGGCGAAGAAGAGGTGAGTCGACGGAGTTAAGCTCAGTGCTGTGACAGTTGTCAGGCGGACCAGTGGCATTGCTTGCTATGGTACTTACAGCCGATCGAGTGAACTTGGATCCCGAACCGCGTCCCTCCGACGGGCTCTCTCCTCGAGAATCTCTTTTCCGAATGCTGCAGTCACTGGGGACGGCGATCTGCGCTTCCGTGGTGCCATGGTGAATTGGAGTTGGGGTGCCGAAAGCGAGGTGGTCTTGTGACAAGGCTGCGTCGTAGAAGGTGAGAGCACCCGGGCGGTCCATTTGTCGAATGCGGCTAGCGTTGTTTGACTAGCTGCCGGCGGAGGGCAGGGTGCACCGCCTCAGGTCGCTCATCCCGAGATCTATACAGTTCTCCGGTGATCGTCTAATGCTTCATACACAAGACTGGAGAGAGATGAACTGCGTCCGCCGAAGAATCAAGTACTATGGGCATTCTCATCATTGTAAACTCACATGTTTTTGATTGAAAGGAAGGATGCTAATGTAGTGCCCAACTGCAATGGTCAGAATACCCATAGATTTGTAACTCGTTGAATACCACCGCATGTATGCATAGACGCTCCACTAACGGTCTCAAATTTCCCCTATTCTTCGTCTATACCATTCCGGACACAATGCCTTCACATCATTCTTAGCGAATGCGTCAGCCCATTGCACCCCAGTACCCCAATATGGCCTATCGTCTCTGGTCTCAGGATCATATCCAACGACTTCAAACTCCTCGCCCATAGCTCTAAGCTGTTCCTCCGATCTCCTGCCAATGAAAGCCCTTACATAAACTTCCCACGGGGCTTCCGGCCTATGGAGATAAAATTGGAATATCCCAAGTTTATATGGAAGCAACGCGGTTTCAGCGTAGAGCTGACGAGATGTGGCTACTAAGCCTAGATTGCACCTTTGGAACGAGAATATCTGACCGGGATCGAAGTCCCTGTCATTGTTATGATCTAAAAAGCCACAGGCTGTGCTGCTAAAGACGTAGGTATAGATTGTGTTGCGTAGCTCGGCGGGTAGGCGGAGAAGGGGCGAGTTGGCTGCGTTGAGCTCACTTCTACGTAGTTTATCAGTTTTGCATCCGTGAGATTAGGGATTGAGGCTCTTACATTTGATCGCGACGAGCTCGACATTGAGGAGTGTGGGTGTCTTCAAGAGTGCGGGATGACGCGTACGTCGCGGGTCTAGCGTAGACGCGGTTGTAGAACGAGTCCTGGGGGGTTTTGAATCTCCAAGATGACATGTTGTGCTGCGTTGGGGGTTTATGTGTCAGTGGGAAGAGTACTGGTGGAAGGAAAGGAAAGGGGGTAGAATACAAGTAGTGTAAGTAATATTGTCAATGTGGCATACAAAGGATCACTTCAACCGATGGGTAGCCGAGAAGTTGAGTGAACTTAAGAGTAGAGCAATCGATCAGAGAGAGTTCTTTTTCGCTCACTCTTACAATTCCGTTGTTCTTCGGCTGCGTTGTATCAACGCGAAGGCACGTTGAGTGAAGTTAACACTGTTTGGAAGGGACATCGATTGGCCGACGAAGGGCATGTAATGTGAATTGATCGAATGGACTAGTGGCAACGTTGCTGCTCCGGTTTGATCTCAGACTGCCGCAGTCTTGGTATGCCAACTCAAAAAGCTGATACAAGTATTCAGTAAATGACCATCAACACTTACTTCTGGTTGTCTCTTCGCGGAGGGCACGTTGCCACAGGCTGTTGAGTGCATGATGCTAGATTGTTCTCCAAGATCTTCCCCATACTCACACTACTGATTGCTATCACCAAAATCACAGGCGCTTCAGACTTCGGTGGAGCCTCGCATGAGCTCACCCGCGAAGGCCTGAAGCTGCAAGATAGAGCGCCATAGGTTCTTGCTGCTTCGGATCTCGAAATACTGCGCTGACCTCTTATGACAGAAGCGCCGTCATGCGTCGCCCGTGACTCTAAGCACACAAGTGGTGACATGCATCTTCAATACTGAAGAGTAGTACTTCCAAGGCTCGAATGTATCGCGAGTTGTTTCCCCCACCTAAGCACATCACTATGGTCGTAGCGATGCTGCGACCCGGTCTTCCGCAATCTTTATAGTATCGACATCGCTGTTCGTGCGAGGGCCAGTGTTTGTGCGATTGCGAACTAGTAGGAGATCTTCGCGTCGAGCGAGGCGTATGCGACGATGCTGGTGGCGTTCGAGGGAGGGGATGTCCACAACATCGGGCGTGGACAGCTCCTGTGAGCGTGCGGAGGCATTCTGGTAATTAGCAGAATTGTACATAACTTTGGAAGATATAGGCATTGTATCGTAATGGTTGAATGTCTACGAGAGCTTGACGCGTCCACGCGTGGAAAATACAGGCTATGACGCAAACGGCGAGCTAAACTTCATTGGGGCTCATGTCGATCATTTCCAGATGCATCATAACTCTGGCGCACGGATCTCATCTCAACTCCGCTTGTTCGCCCTTTGATCTATCGACATTGTCCAAATGAAGCTCATAGCCTTTCATTTGATCACCTTGACCTCCATTCGCAATGTGGCCACTTACTGAAGACGTGATTTGCACTTCTCAGTAACAATGCCGATCATATCGTTCCAGCTCCGAAGGGAACAACGTCTCACACGGCCTCGGCGATTGATTTAGCTTTCCTTATTTTGTTGTGTCTGGTCTTGTACAGATACCATGCGCCGACGGTGAGCATCGTCAACGGCACTGTCGTTACCACGAAGATCCAGAACTGAGGGCTCGCCTGTAAGGAGCCGTCTTCGCCTTTGAAGTCGAAGAGGTTCATGCCGAGGAACGACTAAACGTTTGTGTCAGAACGTATCGAGCACATTGATATGTATGTAGCCAGCTTACAGCCATGAATGAAGCAGGTAGATATATCAAAGTGAAAACAGTGATGACCTTGACAGTAGCGTTATCGTCAACGCCTTCCTGTGTTAGTCGCAGTATGCGCGTGCTTATCTCTCTCGAGTTTGCCTGATTCTCAATATCGAGAAGATTGGTCAGCTGTAGATGTGTTAGTGATGTCGTTTAATTCGCGACTTCTCTTCTCCTACCAATCCCAGTGTGGCTTGTACACGCTGTGCCAATGTATCTGCTACATTGAGATGACTCTCCAAGCGATGTTCCATGATTTGTAATTCACGATGTACGCCATATGATAATTCTCTCAGTGGTGGGATATTGGTCGCGAGTGCTGTGTTGATACTCGTCAAGGTCTGTACAAGAACAAGATTGCTGCGGAGACATTTGCATGCTTTACACACGATCTTGTCCTCGATGTGCCGAAGCATTTGGAGGCGCTCAGGATTGATAGCAGGATTGGCATCCGACTCGCAGATGTCAACCACATCGATGCGTCGTCGCTGTCGTCTGTGAGCATTGCATGTATCGGGTATGGAATCTGCTTACTATCTGCTCCAGGTCACTCGCAAGGCTTTCTAGATGGTCTTGCCAATTTGGCAGGTATGACAATAGGATGACGATATGAACGGTTAATGGATGCTGTGCCAACTGCGCTGTATCCGAATAATCGATCATTGCTTCCAGTTTTGACTGCGCCACAGCCTCGTCGTTGGGATGGATTACAACAACCTGACTACTACACCCTTCGGATGCGAACTTGTGCGTAACACCTGTTTGCCTGAACGACCAGATGTCCCGTGGCGGTCGCTTCCCGTTTCGTTCAACATACATGAACTGATAACATAGCTCTGGAAGGAATCCGTCAGCATACTTTGTACCAGCCAATGGTCATTACGCAAGGTATCAAAGGAACGTACCGAAAGACTGATCCACTGATTGGATCGACTGCCGAAAGCCTGAGGACTCCTGAAAGATTTGAGGCTGATCGCCGAACTTCAGAAGAACGTCTACAAACATGCTGGAGATCTGCCAGCCTCTCAATACTGTCAGCATCGCTTCCTTAGGACACATCAAGGGTGCCAACGAGTATTCCTGGCAGAAAGAACTGTGCTTCGCATTAGCGTCGTCAGTCGATCCGAGATTCCGGTCACGTACAGAATGCGAAAGTTGTCGTCGCTGGTTTTCATAAGATGATCTCCCAGCTCCAAAAGGTCTTTTGGACGCAAGATTGCTTTCCTTCGTGCATCTACATTCGATGAGCGCACTTCCCCTAGTATACGTATTTGGAGAGATATTGGCTTACCCAAACGGATTAGGCGCACGTGAAATGACCCCATGCCGTCGAATAACCGTTCCTGATTGGCACATATCCGCTGCAATGGCACTTCCCAGTCGTCAAAGAACGCATTTCTGCTAGCGTACTCCATGTTCAAATCCGTAATAAAAGAGAGTGAAAGCAATTGAGCTATTATCGTTTTCGTTGAGGGGCGCACGCAGGCTAATGACATGCGCTGAACATCTCACAAGGCTGAGGCAGTGTACGCCTTCGCAGGTCGCCGCGCCAATGGGAAGGCTTCCAAGGTTCCGGTGACCTTCTCTGCGCGCAGAAGTAACAATGTGTCTCGAGCACTGCTTTTCAAAACACTCGGCTGGCTCGCCACGTTTCTGTGAGTCTGCCTTCCTTTCTGTGGACTCCAATCAGCACTGTGAACTTCCTCGAGGCCATGTCATATGACAACTGTCATGAGTCTGACCTTACGACGCGTTTCATAATTGTAGCCGAAGGAATACGTGCACCCACAAGTATATCTCGGGCAAAGGCTCTCATGGCTACGTTTTGCGACAAGTATAGGTAGCGCACCGGTGAAGTTTACAAAGGTACGATTGCGGGCCATCCAGTGCACCACGTGACTGTACATGACGTAGTGCCAAGACCACCAGCTAGTCAATCTCCAGCCTAACTCTGCTGCTTGTCATTCCACTCGTCGCCCCTATTTCTTCTTCAAAGCGCTACAGAAATTAGTCACGGCCTCGCAATTCACATTTTCTGAAGAAGGCTCACCGGAGGTCTGCCTGTATTTCATGCCGTCAGTATCCGTGTTGGTTGCCACGATGGACTAGGCGCATGTACGTACCTCGGGTATCTCCTCTGGCGCGTAGAACTCCCACTTATTGCGCTTTTCCTTGGTTACTCAGTCATGTATGTATATGTGATCTTGCAGGAGAGACATACTTCGATAGCGAACTCATCCACAGACGAGACATCAGGGTACTTCTTCTGCAAGAACGTTTCCAACTTCTCCCTTGTTATATATCCCGATGTTCTCTCTTCAACAACATTATGTATCGGTTGACGGGTCATATCAACTTTCCGCTTGGCGCCCTGAGGTCAGCAGGTAATGTTCTTGGTGAATGGTCGGACAAGGCTGATTCGGGCTGCTGACTATTCAGGAAATCAGCCTTGAAATTCAGCCTTAGACAGCCGACTGAGCGCATATATACCAAAGTACGACGAACAGAGCCTCAATAGGCTAATAGTTCTGTCACTTGTGCTTCGAGTGTGCATGGCATGACAGCACGTCGCTGCAGCAAGCAGCAGGAGGACTGTCAGTGGCTATTGGTTGATCTGCATCAGGCTGCATGATTGCTTTTTCCTGGCGTTTTCAGCTCAATCAGCCCGCAGTGCGCCTCCCACATCCGGCGGCCTTTCTTCTTACAATGTTCCCGGGATATCGTACGGAGTCTCACAGACCGAGTCGCAACCAATCATATGTAGCAGCCCCACACCACATCCTATGCATCATTTATCGTGGAGGCGGAGCTTATGGTGGAGGGCGACAGCTGAGGTATCTGACGCCTGTGCAGTCACCTGCGATTGGGTCCAAGGCGTTCGCATTGCGGCACTGCGAAGCAAACTACGAAATGGCGACCGAACGTTCGTTGAGGCTGACAGCCCGCAACCCATGACTTGAAAAGAGCGCTCATCCCCTGAATTAATTGCGTCTATGCACTAAGTTCGTAAGACGTTACCCGGCCGAGGCTTGTACTACGTTGTCTACTTCCATTATGGGTCAATGCTTCTCACGCTTGCACGGCAAGCATAACATATCCACAGCGGCCAGAACTGGTATCATCCCAACAACACAGGAAGACCAGCCCAATCCCACACCGACCGAATCCGATTCCACCCGCGCTCAATCGGAGGAGCAATTCGATCCCGATGCCACAGGAAATGGAAAATTACACGCGAATCCGCAAACTGTCGACATCAACACGATTAAAGACGAAATATTCACGGCATTAGGGAATGGAATGGTCGGCAAGAAAATCGAAGAGATAATACTTCCTGAAGTGGTCGAGAAAATATGGAAGCAAAACCACCACCGAAAGTTTTATATCAACCAATCTTGGTACAAGTCGGAATGGGACAGGAACAATTTCATGGACGAGATGATTCAGATAATGTCAATCTTGATTCGAATTAGTTTCGACCAATGGTCCAAGTTTGGCGAAAAGTTCGTCCATCACGGAGATCGTCGGGACTGTAACCTTCCTTTCGCCTTGGAAACATTGCAAGAGAAGGGCTTCCTGGGGGTGTCTCTGGGAGAGCTCTTCTACGAGAAACAGTTCGCATTTTGTCCGGTTCCGATCCCAGAGCAAGAGGACCAGTTCATACTGGATAGAGAAAAGCGCCTTCCGTGGATTGATGAACCCAAATTTGTGGAGAAAGGAGGCTATGGAGAAGTCAATAAGCGAACAGTCGCGAAGGGCTTTTTGCGCTTTCAAAATCGCACCACAAATCTCGAAGTAAGTTGCCACAGCCAGGATGAACCGTCTGGCGCGTTGCTAACCTCAGTAGCCCAGAGCTGTTGCAGTCAAGACATTATCCGGAAATGCTGCACTCGCAGAAGAGTTCAAGAACTTGAAGGAGCTACGCGAATGCCTAAGTGCCCATACACGAATCATGGTCAATCTTGTTACGATGGTAGACAAATCAGGCCCGACTAACATCTATCACATTGTTTACGAACTGGCCGCGTACGACCTCAATGTTTTCCTGACCACGATGCGCTCTAATCTGAGGAGGATACGCCACGCGACAGCCACACCAGAAAGGACAGGTTCCGCGAACATGTGGCCCGGCGATCTGATCTCAGAAAGCGTCAATCTTGCCGATGCATTGGATTATCTTCATAATCGGCTGATCTCCTCCAAGCTACACTCATCGCTCTCCCACAACGACGTCAAACCAGAAAACATCTTAGTGGTCTATCCTGAAAGAACCAGTGAGAATGAACTGTATCCAGTGGGACAATGGAAACTCGCTGACTTCGGGCTCTCAAAAATGAAGCCCAAGCGATATTCTGGTGGCCACAACAGACACTTGAGTGCAGATGACGCTCCATCAAGTTCTTCCTATCCACAAAAAACCCACAGAACCGAGAGACCGAAATCTGTGTCCAACGCTATACCTGAGAGATACCCAGGAATGTACACGGCACCAGAATTGGATCAAGAAACCCCCCAAAAAACAGATTGCAGGAGTGCGGATGTATGGTCTTTCGGATGCGTTCTCTCTGAGATTGTCACCTACGCTGTCAACCTCGACTTCCAGCAGGTGGAGTCTTTTCGCGACTCACTTCTACAGAGCTCTCCAGCGGATCCAAAGTTCTACAATAAAAAATCCAAGGATGTCAAGTCAGAGTTCATCGACCATCTGGCCAGACTACCGAACACCTCACAATCCATTACGCGCATCTCAAGCGATGCTCTATGGACGAATCAGTGCGTTGATCTCATCAGAAAGATCGTGGTCAAGGAGCCAGGTAATCGATTGGGCCCAAGTAAGATCCGCGAGAAGCTTAGCCAGATCGGTCAAGCTATGCACAGCGGAAGAGAGGAGTGGCTGAAGCACAGCCCGCCACCACCACTCACAGTGGACACAGGTGCTGCGAACACGGAAACGGCAGTCTCTTGTCCAACGAGTGCCATGTCCCAAAGCCCAACTGAGTATACAAATCCCGACTACGAGAGAGATGATCCAATCACAAGGATACCGAGTATAGCCATCCATCCAGTGGAGCATGCAAACTCAGAACCTTTGCGGGCTCCACACCTTGGGGAGAACGAGGGAAGGAGAGCGTCAGCGCCTAGATGAAGTACGGAACGTTTGTGTTTTGCTGTAGCTTTGCGTATACCCACCCTCCCACAATGGATCACCTGATATCATAATTGAAAGACATGACTTTGGTGGTTTTCTCTGTGCACTACGCTCTAATCCCGTCGAGAGCGCGTTCACGTAATCTCGGCATGCTATCTTCACCTTCATTCAACTCACTTTTCTACATTTTTGCTAAGCAACGACTTCCCATAAACATCATGTTTATGTTCCCCTAACAAGATATGGATTGTCCCAAGCTGATGCACCGTGATAGTAACGATCACCTCCTTCCTGCTTACCGAGTTGGCAAACGGCCATGTTCTTATCGTCCATAACCAGCTCTTGTTCCCTGGTTCTGTTCTCCATAAACCTCTCCACACAGTATGACCATTTGCCCTTGGAAACCCTGAACAGGAAATTGAAGAAGCCGAGCTTATACGGGAGGAGGCCTGTCTCGGCATGGAGTTGGCGCGACGCAGCGATGAGACCCAGATTACATTCGTCGAACGAGTACAGGCACTGAGTCTCGGGATCCTCCCAGCAGTATTCGTCAAATGTATACTCCATGCCGGTGAAGACGCAAAGGAAGATGACGTTCCCGATTTCGGCCGGCAGGCGAAGGAGGGGTGAGTTGAGAGCGTTGAGTGAAGTGCTACGATGTCTTGTTAGTTGACTATCTTGATTACATAGGAAACTGGCAGCTACATCTTATCGCGGCGAGCTTGGCCTTGAGGAACGTCCTCGCGAGGAACTTCATTTGGGGGAACCTTTTCGCGAAGGATCTGCTCGCGCACTGCTTCCCTGCGTTGAGCTCGGATATCGCGCGTCTTCTTTTCGTTAGATGGTGCGTCGGCACGAGGCTTTTGTACGCGCTTCCGAGGCGCCATGACGGTAGGTATGCTGTTGAGGTGTCAATAATGTCAATAATGGCGTCGTTGAACGGAGAGATGAAAGAAACTTCACAAGACGCAATAGAATGCGTGATGGCTCTATACTTGGTCCCTATCTACTCCAACCCATGGTACTGTACTGATGCAGAGCGGGATGGGCCACTCACAACTTCCGAGATTCATTACACGCCCACAAAGTTGAATTTCTACGGACGAGAAGTAGGGTTGACATAAGAACTTGCGCTATTCGCGGAAAGTTGATTCAAGCGGACGGAGTGCATGTGGCGTGCATTGATCGACTAATCTGGCGCCAAATAACTACTTCGAAGAAGTTTCCTGAAGCTGTAGTATACATGACTCGATCCCAATAGACGGTCGCTCTCTTGTCCTGGCAAGATAGCACAGGATAAAATCCGATTCATGTCGTTCATGCAAGATCAAGGAGCTTGTTCTTCAACACGGAGTCCTTCAAAACACCACCTGCATATATCTTCGCCCACTCGACCCCGGTTCCTGATTCTTCCGCAACAATCTCGCCATCATCGTACGTAACGATTTCCATTTTAGTGATCGCCCCAATCTGAATTGCGGACCTATCATGCAGGAATTCTCGCACCACTGCGTCCAACTCACCAGCCTCGTGTGCAGCTTCGTCGTCTTGAGGTAAGTCGAGTTCAAATTCGAATATGCTGAGTTTGTAGAGAAGCAAGGAAGTCTCGGCATGAAGCTGGCGGGAGGCAAGGAGCAGTCCAAGAACGTTGTCGTCGGAAGATTCTGAGCAAAGTGACTGTTCATCATCGTCGATGCACGCATGGAACTGTTCATCGAGGTTTTCGGGGTTTTGATCCGTCTCCTCCAAGAGCTCAAGCTTGTTCATTAAATGTCGCCACTTTTTTGACTCGATTGTGTAGCGGGTATCTTTGAAGACGTAATTGTAAACAATGTTGCGAAGCTCGGCGGGGAGACGAAGGAAAGGCGAGGTTTCTGCATTGATGCTGGTGCTAACGCAGTGTGTTAGCCGTTGAGTATTCCGAGGAATGTCTGGGACTCACATATTGTTGCGGACAATCTCATCGAGAATCTCTTGACCACGAAGAGCTTGTTGCTTCTGAGGGGCTTGGTCCCGAGCCGCAGCTCCATATTGTGCCCCGTCGTCACGGCTCTTCTCTACGGGTACGTCGATAGAAGACGCCGCTGAGCGCGAGCGGGTAGCCATCATGTGGATTGCTTGTAATGTCGACAATGTTGAGAAGCCAGTGGGAGAGAGACGAAGTAGAAGAATGTAATCAAGACGTAGAGCAGTATGCGCGAGCTCGCTTAGACCACGTGAAAACATGCGTGTCTTGGCTGCTACCTGAATGGGTAACCATGGTGATAACGAACGTCCGTGAGATCAGCTTAGAACGCGTCATATCAAAAGCACAACTTACAACCAGCTTTGCACCATATCTGAGATGCGTACAGTAGGAGTGATATTATTTCATCTCTCGTAGCGCGGGTCCGCTTAACGCGCTTTATTGCGAGGTGTGGGTATGTTTGCCGACTTCATTATACATATGCCAGATGAAACGTGAATGTCATGGCTTCCCAGCGTAAACGACCTTTGCTACGGACTTGATCATTTACGAAAGTCACCGCTCTTGCTAGCAACAAGCACGGCCTGTGATAGCTGAAGGATAATATGCGGTTGATACCGAACAGCAGTGTTGATGCGCATCAAATTGTTTCGTAAGAAGCGACCGCTACGAGGACCTTCTGCTAACTCCGATATTCGCCCATCAAGTCTAGTGGATACTAGCGAGGACGTCGTGCATGACGCACGATAGACCGATATTCCTTGATCTTCAGCCTCTTAACCCAGTATAATCCAGTCCCCATTGCAAACGCCTGTTCTTCACAGGCGTAACGGCGTAGTGTCAGACAAGACATAGCTTTGACCTGTTCTTCGGAACGCTTAGCGAGGAACTTCCTCACATCGGACTTCCATTAACTCTTGTTGGCGTCGTAGACCAGAAAATCAAATGCGCTGAGCTCGTAAGGAAGATAGGCGGTCTCGGCGTGAACTTGACGCGATACCAGAATCAGCCCCATACCTGTCTCTTGGAATGAGCTTTCGCACAATGGGTACTCTCCGTACGGCATATACAGGCTGTAAGTAATGTTGTCGAAAACGCGGCAGTATATCATATTGCGAAGTTCCGCGGGAAGACGAAGGAGCGGAGAATTTGCGGCGTTACGCTCGGTACTGCAACGATTCGTTAGTGATATGTTTCGCAGCAGTTGCACGACTTTGAACAAACATTTCGTTGTCTACGGCCGGGTGATGAGAAGGTTCCGGCTCACGAGTTTCCAAAGTACGCTGCTCATTGGTATCTGGTGCGTCGGTGGAAGCTAGCGCAGCGCGCTTTTAAGGCGGGGTGAGAGCTTTGGAACGCGTCATTGGGGGCGATGCGGGATATGCGGGCGAGATAATATGCGCAGGAGGCGGATAGGCCTAAGGAAGTTGGGCGAGCGCGGTAGGAGCGGACTAGCGTAGGAGAAGAGAAAGAGTAGAACAAGACTTGCTAAGGCGGCATACAGGCAGATGCGCTTTCCTTTCTGTGTGACCAAAGCGCCCGCAAAGTGCAGCATGGGCCAGTCATGTCGAACCCGTATCAAGCTAACGACTGTTCTTGCTTCCGATTTAAACCGCTACGAAAAGATACCTACGGCGTGGCTAGCAAGTCCCATCCGCGACTCAGGAACCGAAGGGTCTATTCGAGTAGCTTCTCTACAGTCATCAATAGAATAGAATCTCCTTCACTCAATCTTGCAACCCAGTAGGCACCGGTCCCAGTCAAGTTGACGCCTTCAAATCCGTTGTAGTATGATAAAAGCTCCAAATTGCCGAGCACCTCGATCTGAACCTCTGATCTCCTGTCCAAAAACCCCTTGATCGCATTGCGCTTGTGTCCGTAACTTCGGGTGCCACTGAGGCCGAACTTGAATGTTGCGAGTTTGTACGGAAGAAGCGCGGTTTCTTGATAGATCTGACGAGAGACGTTAAGTAGTTTCAAACCGTTGTCGCCGAAGAACTTCCAAACAGCAACCTGGTAAGAATACCAGGAGTGTTCGTCCAGATTAGCAACTACATCGCAGAAAACGTAGTGATACACCAGGTTTCTGATTTCGGCGGGAAGGCGGAGGAGGGGAGAGCGTATAGCGTTGCGCTTGGAACTAGATTACCAGATTAGTCACATATTAACCAATTAGCTATTACAAGAGAGGCTTACATGTTGTCGAGCCGAGTGCGTCGCCGAAGAAGCCGCTTACGAGCCGCGGCCTTGAGACGGCGAACCCTGCGGCGAGCGCGGTGAAGCATCTGTATCCCGAAAGAGGTCCGAAACATTGCCGACGAGATGGTTGTGTGTGAGCGCGGTAGGTGAGACTGTGGGGTGTGGAGTAGATGTGAGCACGAGGGAAGTGCGGGAGTGTAGTTGATAACGCCAAGGCTACAATGAGGAAGTCGCGTTGTCGCGGCGCTGGGTAGCCGTGCGTCATGAGGGACGAACATCTTCCACCTACGGTTTAGACCATTTCAGAAAGATACGTACAGCGAGTGGGAACCTATGCATCGAATGCAACGCCGACTCTAGCAGCCGACATATGTCTTACGTTATCCTGTGAGTGGCATCAAGGAATAGTCACGTAATTATAGTAGACGTATGAGTCCATTCTTCTGTTGCAAATACTAAAGGTTCACTGTACAACGCAAAAGTCTTTGAAGATACGAGCCATTTCCGTGTGGGTGACATTCGCCAACACAAGTGTACCAGCCATTACAAACACAAGGCTGCTATTTACAGAGTCAGTCGTGGAACCAATCATCCATGCAGTTTCACGAGTAGAAAAGATGCAGTTCCTGCAGTTCCCTCAAGAAATCGGCTCCAATCCCATGCCATCTCATCTTGCCATAAATAACCTCAACTCGACCGAGTGCTGCAAGTTGCGCTTCCGATCTCTTTGACAAGAATTTTGGTGTTTCTTCGGGCAAAAATGCACACCCGTCATCCAAGACGAAGGTTGCGAGCTTGTAGGGAAGCAAGGCGGTTTCATGGTGGACTTGTCGAGAAGCGAGAAGCAGACCAAGACACGAATACTCAGCGCGACAGGCGATCGAGACCGCGTCACTGCCCGACGCTTTGTATTCGTAGATCTGATCACTGAACACGTGAGTGTATATCGCGTTCCGGATTTCAGCGGGAAGGCAAAGAAGCGGCGACTGGGTGGCGTTGAGTCTTGTTCTGGAATAATTAGTCAGTCGCGGAGCCGCTAGACGGGAAGAAGGGCAGGCTGACATTAATTCGCGGCGAACAGCATCTTGCGGGAGGCGCATCTCCGTTGAGGCTTCGTGGAGACTTCTGTCAGCCATCTCGTTGCTTATGAAGACTGAGCACGCTGGTAGCGAGTAGCGAGTGAGCAAAGAACAGACGAAATTGAGCTTTGTGGCAGTGGCAGGGCGTGTGGGAGGAGTGCGGGGGTGTGAAGAGGGAGCCTTGTTGTTGTTGTGGTTACTGGGTGACCAAGGATCAATGCGAAACTCATAGCAGCTGCCGTTTTAAGAATACGTCATTGCAAACGACCAGTTTGACGCACAATCAAGCTCTCGCCGCATGATTTGCATTCACCATGAGAAGTCACTGCTACAGGGTATAACACCGTGACGTGCCGAAAGAAGAGGTAGAGAGGGAAGTATGTATTGCTGAGGTCTTTCTCACTATGTGATTGCTTGCAGTGAGACCGCATAACCACTTGAAAGCGCTTGGTCATCGCCACGATCGCGAACTATGATCTTGAAAGCCTGAACAGGTAGTTCTGGAACAGCTAGGGGACGATCTTCTAGCAATCCAGCTTTGCGGCCCAATAGGCGCCGTCTCGGGTCATCATCCGCGATCCGATCCCGAAACTGTACTCGCATTCTACATCTATCTGCATCTGAGCGAGACTCTCAACCTGCGCCTTCGTTCTCGCCTCCAAAAAAAAAAACCCTCATCGCCTGATTCTCAGGAGTGGTATTCGGATCGTCGACGTACGCTATGCCGAAGTCGAACGTCGCGAGCTGGTATAGAAGCAAGGAGGTTTCGTGGTGTAGTTGGCGACAAGCGAAAGGTAGTACCACGCGATCCACGTAATCATAGAACGGAGGGGTACGATAGGTCAAGAAGTTGACCGTTCGGTCATCTCGCCACTTGTTAACATTCAGGGTATAGAGGATGTCGTTGAAGATATAGGTGTAGATCTGGTTGCGAATCTCGGCAGGTAGACGAAGAAGTGGAGACTGAGTAGCATTGAGCTCGGTGCTGTAGCGTATCGTCAGTCTCAGAGCAGGAACCCAGAGATCGTGAGACTCACATCTTGTAGAGCCGCGCACGCTTGCGTCGCTCTAGCTCTTGAGCGAAAACCACTTCCTTCCCCATGGATGCTGAAGATATTGATGGCGACCTTGGGCGGTAGCGTCGAGGCGGTGTAGTCGAAGGAGACGAGGAGTGTGGTGGGCGAAGGAAAGCGCGGAAGAAGTGAGAGAGTGGGAGACTTTGCCAAGGCTGGAAAGAGGCAGGCGCGTTGTCGTCGTTGCTGGGTGACCACGCGAGGTGAGTGAGACCTTCAAAGTGGAACACGACTTGCATAGCTTGCCGTCACATGTCTGCCTAGCCCTTGCCGCTGAATGAGTGAGTAAAGTGGTATTGGTGACATGCTCATCGTTCAGTCACTTTCACTTCAACTGATCAAATCATGCGAAGCAAGAAGATCGATGGGCTTGATAATATTTGAGCCACTGCAGCTACCGAAAAGGTGGCGGTCAGAATAGATAAAAGATAACTTTTCGTGAGAAGATGAACACAGCAATCATTCTGGTGTCATCCTTGCCATCTACTGATCAAACGCTTGAGTTGATGGAAGAAGTAGTGAAGTCCGAAAGGACTGCCTGGCTTGAGGCCTCCTCTAGCTCCGCAACCCAGAATGCACCATTTCCCTCCACCAGATTAGGCCCACCCTTGTTATCAAATGCCTCAATTCTCAGACATGTAATGGCTTCAATCTGCTCCTGCGTCCTCTCCTTCAAGAACCTTTCAACCGTCTCCAGGTCTTCCTCTGTGGTCAAGAAGTAGCCCCAAATATCGAACGACCCAAGGCTGTATGGCAGCAGAGCGGTCTCTACGTGAATCTGGCGACAAACAAGAAGCAGGTTGAGACCGTTAAGTGCGAGGGAACCCGAGTCGGTCTCGATTTGCATACGGACGCCGCTGTCAAGTGGTCCCCAATTGGTGTCAAGACCGTACTTGACACCGCGGAAGACCCAGCCAAAGATCATGTTCCTGATCTCACCTGGCAGGCGGAGTAGAGGGGAGTCGGTAGCGTTGGACTTGTGACTGTACAAAGTTGTTAGCTAGACGCTGTATTGATTGAGAGTTGTGGTCATTACATGGCCTCGCGCCGAGCCTGGGAGCGGTGGCGAGCACGGATCAGAGCTGTGGCTGCGTCTTGAATCACGCGTCTGTCATCGGCATGCAACTTCTGCTTCTGCTTTTTCGCCAACGCGACGGCTGAAGGCGACAGAGCGCGCTTTCTGCCGCGGTCCATGATGTTGAGCTTGTAGGATCTGGAGATGGGAAGTAGAGAAGTGATGGTGAGAGGGAAGAAGAGAAGGAGGGACGGAGAGCTATCGCTATTTATGTAGTAGTGAGGGAGCGAGGCATGCGGGATACTCAAGGTAAAGGCAGATTTCGATATATGTTGGCCGTTTCAAACACGCGGTCATCTCACCTTCGAGATCCGATAGCCGGCTGTGGATAGGCGATGTGCACTCATGACCTGAACAAGAGGATGGAATTTGACTTGTTGCAGTGACCGGAGAGGGTACAGTCGTCTCAGCGAATAGATACAGGAACGCTTATGAAGAAAGGAACTATCTGGTCTATGGAAGCGTCACCTGACCACCAGATGGTCCGAAAGAAGAGATATCGAACCTGTAGCGTTCCATTGGGGTCATCTTGGCGTAAGAGGCTGAGAAAACTTCTAACTTGGCGACCCAGTATGCAGCAGTGTTTTGTTGGTACCAATAGCAACCCAACGCTTCTGACCACTCAGTGAGCTTGACGTTAGCCATCGCACCGATCTGCTCACTCGTTCGCCTTCCCAAAAATCTTTTCACGATCCAGAGCCCTCGGAATGCCGACCTTTCGCACTCAAATCGGAAGCTACCAAGCGAATAGGGTAGTAGAGCCGTTTCAGCATGCATCTGGTGACAGGCGAGAGGTAATTTGTCCGGTGTCCGCTGCTCAAGCCATCGATCGACGGCCATAAAGCAATATTGATCGGAGGGCTTAGTCGCAGGACCTTCGTCAAAGAAGTAGAATATGCCTGTATAGACGTGGGCGAAGATCATGTTCCTAATCTCAGCCGGGAGTCGAAGCAGAGGTGAGTTGACAGCATTGAGCGTGGTGCTAAATTCTGTTAGCTACGTTGCTAAAACGAGTGCTGCATCTTACATCTGAGCCCGACGAGCTTGGTCGCGAATGTCTTGAGCAGCTGCGCGACGCGATGCCCTGTCGTCTCGTGCTTCTTTCGCAGACTGCGTGGTAACGGGAGGGGTGGCTGGGCGCTTGCGCTTGGCCATGTCGAATTGCAATTGGTTCTTCGATGGAAATAGGGTTTGAGTGAGGAGTAGAACAGAAGCAAGGGTCGAGAAAATCACCCAAGCTGGGCTGACTAATCAGAGTGAGGGTGACTTCTAATCTGAGCCGGCCGTCATAAGAGCCGCAGTTTCCACATCCGATAACCGCTTGCAAACAAGTGACGTCACTAGATACAAACACACCAATGCTACAAAGGCTTATCAGCGCAATGCTTCAGGAACAGTACCGATTCACCTGAAATGCGAAAGTAGTACCGAGCTGACAATTGCAATGAAAGCTCGACCAAAAGAAATCGCAAGTATAATATACTGTTGCTTATGCTGAGTGGAAACATGAAGAAGTCATACTCTTGTACCGTCACCCCGGCTTCGTTTGTTCATGCAGATATTATAGGAAGCAAGAGGATGAAGAGTATTGATAGCGTCCGGATTATAGCGACAACCAGAGAAATCCAGCTAGGTAGATGAACAGATAAAAGAGTAATCCTGTAGAGGGAACTAGTCCCGAGGCCACGAATAGATCTCCAAAGGCGGCCAAACCCGCCCCTCGATACGAGATGGTCCGATACTCCCGACATCAAACCACTCGCTACTGTGGACTCCCCATAGATTCTTCTGATCGGCATAGTCCGCAATTTCCTCCATCGCGGCGATCCAATTTACGGCAGGTCCAGTTCGCTTCCACTCGTCACCCCACTCTTCAATTTTCCAGTCAGACCATTGCTCAAGTGTTAGCTGAGCAATCGCATCAATCTGCTCATCGGTCCTTTCCATCAAGAAAGCATTCAACATCTCAAGCCCAGCAGTCCCTCTTCTTTCACCATGGATATAGAACCCAAATGTTCCAAGTTTGTACGGAAGTAGAGACGTTTCGGCGTTGAGCTGACGACAGACGAAAGATAGACAGGCTTCTCTCTTCACTCGATCGAGAGTCAGATTGTAGTCCACACGATAATAAGAACCGCGTGGTGCCGGGTAACGATGTGCTTTGAAGTCATATTCCTTGCCAATGTACACGTAGGTAAAGATCATGTTCCTGATCTCAGCGGGCAGACGAAGCAGAGGTGAGTTCGTGGCGTTGGAAATGCTGCTACATTACATTGTTAGTTACGCATGTAGTTTCCAGGACGAATAACTTACATGCGGTCGCGGGGATCTTCTTGAGGTACGACTTGAGCAACGTCTTGAGCAAAGTCTTGTTGAACTCCTTGAGGTGTGTCTTGTTGAACTCCTAGAGAAAGATCTTGAGGAAAATCTTGAGGAACATCTTGAGGAAGGTCTTGCGGAACGTCTTGAGGAACGGGCTGAACTGGATGGCCTTGATCGTGAGGAGCTTCAGAAGCTTCAGACACAGTTGCAGCCGGATCCTTGAGTTCCTTGGGGCGTTCCTTCTTGGCGGGTGAGGAGGTGGATGGAGACTTCGACGCCCGCTTGCGCTTGGCCATGTTGACTTGACGTTGATGTTGATGTTCAGGTAGGAAGACGAAGTGTGTCAGAAACCGAAAGAGCAGACTGTAGAGGGTGAGTAGAAGAGTAGAGGAGGCAGAACCCAGGCTATATATACGTACAAAGCCATGTCTTGCTCAGTGGCTAGTTGAAGTGACCGCGACTTTCTACTAAGGTCGGGCGTCCAAAGGCGCGGTCACCTCGAATTCCGCGTTCGACAGCTATGTGCTGCTCACTGAGTATCCTAAGTGACGGCGACTTCCAAAGTACACCCGTCATCTCAAAGGCGCGGTCACCTAGCGTTCCGCATTCGACGCGCGTCTGGAATGTAAGTCGATGGCACGCCAAATTGACCAGGCCAGTTTAGCACATACGAGAGAGGAATTGCGGAGGTATTCTTAGCACGACATTGAACATGTATTTGCAAACTTGCTAAACGCCACAATGAGGTATCATACGAACCAAAGAGATAAGACAGCTAAGAAAGTGCAAACAACTGGAACCGAAATATGAAAGACAGAAAGACAAACATACCATCCCACGCATGCCCCAGATCAAATTACCTTCCATACCTCGAAATACAATTTACACCCACTTTTGAGACATCCCAACACTCCCCACCTACTGAATCCTCTCATCTCGATCCGTCGCACCATAGCCCGCCGGCTTCCTGGCCCTTCCGGTAACATCACTCCACGCAGCACCGAACCTACGTCCAGTGCTAGCCAACAGACCCTCCTCCTCTTCCTCCTCAAGATCACGGTCAATCTGTTCCTGGTCAAGACTAGGTGCCTTGAACAGCGTAGTCAAGAAGACAATAAGGTAAACACCCAAGAAGGCGAATTGAGCCCAGAAGAGGACGACGCCGAAGAAGGGGAAGTTGATGGTGACGCGGTTGATGAAGGTGCTGAGGACGGAAGGTGTGCAGACTTGTTGAGCAGCGGGATTGGTGGCGAGTTCACTGCAAGCCTTGATGAGATCCTTGTGCTCGGTGCAGTCGGGTTGTTCGTCAAGGCTGTTGGTCTTCATGTCGCAGTAAGTTTGCGGGCCCCAGGTAGCGTACTGGGGTGCGACGACCATGGCGACGGAGTAGTTGATCGCGAGGGTAATTAGCGTGAGGAGGACGGTCGCCATGAGAAGAGCCTGGGGCGAAGTATGTCCCTTGCGGATCTTGAAGATGGTGATCCACAGGAAGCGAATACCAGCGGTCGCAATGCCGACGACAGAGGCGGAGAAGAAGAAAAGGACGAGGAGGAGGAACATAACATAGTCGATAGGGAAGACCTTGGCGGACTTGACGAGGATGTAGTTGAGCGGCTGGAAGATGTTGATGTGGCCGAGGATGTAGCCGCAGTGGGCGCCGCAGATGGAGTTCTTGGCCTTGTCGATGCCGGTGATGAGCATGCTGGCGAAGATGACAAGAGCGAAGACCATCAGGATGAGGCCGCCGATGAGCTTCAGCGGGCGGAAAAAGGCTTCGGTCTTGATCCAGGCCTTGACGATCCAATGGCGGTCCTCGCCGCTTGACTCGGCAGCGAGACGCTCACGGCGGATGAGGGTGCGCTCTTCGCGGACGAGGGCTTCCAGCTCGCGTCTGTCCCTGCTGTCCAGTCCGCCCTCGCTGCCTTCGTTGCGACCTTCGAGCTGTCTCTGGCGCTCGCGGTTGTTCTCCAGCTGGGACGCGGTGTTCGCGGCGAGCGTGGGGGCTGAGACGGATGGCGCGGACTTGATCATGGCGACGGGGAGGAGAGCCATTCCAGCACCGGTGTAGAGCACGAAGAGGACGGTTCCGACGGTGATGAGGAAGCCGAGGCCGAAGGATAGAGCGCGTTCGCCATCTAATGGAGTTAGTCGATGTCAATAAACAATGGATGTCGCTACTTACGGTTCTCCGAGAGAAGATGCTTGAAATAGTCGAGATCAAGGCGCTTGTCATCCTTGGCCTGCTTCGCAAAGGGCACGAAGAAGCCGACGAGAAAGATTGCGACTACAAAGATGAGGAAGCCGAGAGTCCACTTGAGAGCACCAGCAATGCGCTGGCCAGCAGTCTGCTCGCCGTGCTCAGCCGCATCCTCATCGTATTCCTCGTACCAGAAGTAGGTAAAGGGAATGACGAGCAGGCAGAGAAGCGCATCGAGCGAGTAGAGCGTGTAGTAGACGATGCGCAGAGTGTAGACGATGCTATCGACCTTCTCCGGTGTCGCCCAATCCTTCTTGCGTCCTAGACTAGATCTCGAGGTGGATGAGACGAGAGCGACGTCGACGGGAATGAGGAGGACGGTTGCGAGCAGGGCGAGAGTGGTGAAGATGCAGACAATGGTAACGGCGGCGGCGCGATCGCGCGGCTTCTGGTAGACATAGACGAATGTGGACGCGATGAGGAAGAGGATTCCCACGGCGACGGCGTAGGCGACCCAGATGAGAGAGGTCTGTATCAGCGCCATGTTGATACCAGTTGACAGCAGATGCTATCGCTGGAGGAGAGAAGAGGGGATTCCAGGTAGAAGCCGGCGATGTTTGGAATGACGTCTAGCGGCCAGAACCCTGCTTCGATCCTGCCCAGAACAGCTAGCATGGGTCGCACCTTCCCGGGCTGGAGCTCCAACACAACACGCTAGACAGAATCGCGCATGAGCTCTTTTGACGCGACCTCGGTCAACACCACGAATTCGCGCTGAGCTATACCGCCCCACCCACGCACGACTGCCATGCGAAGTGCGGCAGCGACCTTCGACCACCACCATGCAGTGCTACACTGAGATAGCCCCGCCCACCGCCGTCAGCCATGCCATCAGCCTGCCCTTCGTGCACTCTAGGTCAAACAACCTAGTCGTCGCAAAGAACTCGCTGCTCCAGATCTTCGAGCTCAAGGCGACCACGACCGAAGTCACCCCGGGCGGAGGAAACGAGTCGGAGAATGCCGCGGCCAACCTCGACACTGAGGCGGCCGACGTGCCGTTGCAGCGCACCGAGAGCACGGCCAAGCTGGTGCTGGTGGGCGAGTTCCCCCTCGCCGGCACCGTCATATCGCTGGCGCGCGTGAAAGCGCTCAACACAAAGTCAAAGGGCGAGGCGCTGCTGGTGGCGTTTCGGGATGCAAAGCTCAGTTTGGTGGAGTGGGACCCGGAGACGTACAACCTCCATACAATATCAATACACTACTATGAGAACCCAGACTTGCCCGGCATTGCTCCTTGGTCCGCTGATCTCAAAGACACGTACAACTTCTTGACGGCAGACCCCAGCAGCAGATGCGCCGCCCTCAAGTTCGGCACCCACAACCTCGCCATTCTGCCCTTTCGCCAGCGTGATCTCGTCGAAGATGACTATGATTCCGATGCTGAGGCTCCCAAGGAGACCAAGGCCGAGCAGGCGAATGGCGACCACAAGACGCCGTATTCCTCCTCCTTCGTCCTCCCACTCACCAACCTCGACCCTACCCTCACACACCCCGTCCACCTCGCCTTTCTGCACGAGTACCGCGAACCCACCTTTGGCATAGTCGCTGCCTCGCGAGCCACCGCCCCGTCATTACTCGCCCACCGCAAAGACATCCTCACCTACTCCGTCTTCACCCTCGATCTCGAACAAAAGGCCTCCACTACGCTCCTCTCAGTCACCGGACTGCCCTACGACATCACGAGAGTAGTACCGCTACCCTCTCCCATTGGCGGTGCTCTGTTGGTAGGAGGAAACGAGATCATACACGTCGACCAGGGAGGAAAGACGAATGGTGTGGCTGTGAATGAGTTTGCCAAGGCCTGCACATCATTCCCGCTCAGCGACCAGTCAGATCTGGCCCTCCAATTGGAAGGATGCCAAGTCGAGCTGTTGTCGCAGGACACGGGCGATGTGATGATTGTGCTCAACAGCGGGCGCATCCTAATCCTTACCTTCACCCTCGACGGTCGGACTGTATCCGGAATGACTATTCAGACTGTCTCGGAAGACCATGGCGGTCAAATTCTCAAAGCTGCCGCTTCATGTACGAGTAATCTCGGCAGAGGACGGCTGTTCGTTGGAAGCGAGGATGGCGAATCAGTAATGCTAGGCTGGACTGGTTCATCCACTCAACTGCGACGCAAGCAAACGAATGCTGATTCGGATGGCGACGAGGACATGTCTGACGAGGGGGACATGGATGATATGGAGGACGATCTCTACAACGATACAGCTCCAGCCGTTCAGAAGATTACGGCAGCTGTGTCCGAGCCCACAGCGCCAGGAACGTACACTTTCAGAATACACGACGTCTTGCCGAGTATAGCACCGATCAAGACCGCCGTCCTCCATCCTGGCAAGGTTACCGATTCCTTGAACAAGGGCGAGATCATGCTGTCTACGGGTAGAGGGTCGGCTGGAGCCATCACCGCTCTTGACCGCGAACTTCACCCTGTCAGTATCGCGACCAAAGAGCTTCCTTCAGCGCATGGCGTCTGGGCTGTACATGCTCGAAAGCAAGCCCCGGGAGATGTCACTGCAGCGTTTGGCGAAGACACTGAAGCCAACATGGCTACTGATGTTGACTATGACCAGTACCTGGTTGTCTCCAAAACCATTGACGACGGCACTGAGACTACTGTGGTATACGAGGTCAACGGCAACGAGCTGACTGAAACCGACAAAGGCGATTTCGAGCGTGAAGAAGGCTCGACTCTTTTTGTGGGTGTGTTGGCCGCTGGCACAAAGGTTGTCCAGGTCATGCGGACGGAGGTCAGGACGTACGATTCGGGTAGGCCAGATCATCTACATTATCCGCCTTCTCAGACTAACTTCGTCAAATAGAACTTAATATGGACCAAATCCTACCCATGGAAGACGAAGAGAACGGAAACGAGATCAACGTCATCAACGCCAGTTTCGCAGACCCATACCTACTCATCCTGCGCGAGGACTCTAGTGTCAAGATCTTCAAGGCTACCGGTGATGGAGAGCTAGAAGATGTTGAAGCGACTGGGCTGACGGGAACAACATGGCTTTCGGCCAGTCTGTTCAAGTC